TTTGATCATTCCCCAATTATTCATTGATATATTTTAAAATCATAAATAAAAAAAATACATTTTTACTATTTTTTCAGTATGACTTGACGCGTACAATAATCTCCTTTACACTATATACAATTGTAGAACGATAGACAATATAGAGCCAAACTAAATCCAAATGAACAATAAATAATAATGATATTAAATGGTTTCTTTCATATGACTAATAATAATTTATTACATTTACATGGAGACTCCTGATGTTTCGGAAGACTAATCGTCTTCTGCTTCATCCACGACACCCGCGATGTAAACCTTGGTCAAAGTAGGTAAGTAATGTCATGTTCTCAAGTTGGAATAATTATTTTAGTGTTTGTGTGATAAGGAATAAACAGAACGTCTATGTCCGAACGAACCCCTCCAGACAGACGACAGCGAAACTGAATAAAGATTATATCTTGCGACACTGTTCAGGCTTCGTGTATAACCATGTGTTAAATGTGGTTTAATTCTTTAACGAACCTGTAAAAATCACAATGTAAACAGAACGGAACTTGTTTCGGAACCACTGTTTTGGCACGTACAACATTCTACTCATTTTGCACACACACTCACACTTTTAATTTGAATATATTGCATTGTTTCAATAACGATAGAGTGGGAAGGAAACAGTAACTACAACTTAAGAAACGCCCTCTTCCGACATACAGTGAGGTAATTACAACAATTAATAAACCTATATTGAAACAATAATATATATACATGGTTAAAATCTAAAATCTTTCACTGACTTGGCTTGATAAAATGATACAAGTGCGCACATCATCGTCATATTATAATATACTTGAATTAATATCAACATTTAAGTTTCGTAACTGACAAAATACGATTGTTGTGTACAGTTGACAGTTTTCACATTGTCAGAAAGTATTATAAACGCTCTCACAACGATATTCACAGCTACAATGTTGGCTATTGGTGAGTTATTATTATTATTATTACATTCTTAACGGCTCGTCAACACAAACGGTAAAACACACAGCGATCCAAAAGGAAATAAAATTGAACAAAGCAAAAGGTAAAAGACAAATGTTAAAAATCTTAAATGGGTATGTTAACACAAAAAGATTAAAATGGTACGTCCTAGTCTATTATATAAACCAACATCTTTCAGGTAATGTAGAATTTACAAATGTCAACAGTTTCAAACGGGGTTTTAGACATGTAATGTGACGATAAAAACATTCAGGAGTATACAGAAGGTGCAGTCCAATAAAGCAATGGTTAACGGTAAATGGTTCACCACATCCTATGCACCATGGATTATCTTCGCCTTTCAACATGTATAAATGTGTAAGGTATGTATGACCCATCCGAAGAGGGCAAGGGCAACTTCGTCTCAGTGGCTGTCTCTATAGCCTGGATATATGCTTTTTCATTGCCTGGTATTTCCATGTGCCCAGGAACCCCAGCAAAAAGCAATACGAAAGTTCATGATATAGCATTTAGGTATTACGCATGAAAATATTTTCGATATTTCTATTGCTAAGAGTTTGTAGAACAGAAAGAGAGTCTGAACGGATAACAGCTCTCATTACTTTGTTTCTTTGAATATATTCAAGGGCGAGGTAGATAGCTCGCGCTTCTGCCGAGAATATTGAGACGTTGATCGGTAGACGGCATCCATAGGTTCATCTTGTGTAACTATGGTCGCAGCAAACATCAGTATATAAATATAGAAATGTTTCATAATTTAACTGCAATTTCGAGAAGGATGAACGAAAGGTGTAATTGCTTGTGTCTAATTTAACCATTTCATGAAGTGAAAAGTCGCCTTCTGGTGAATTCATGAGCCAGGGTGGAATTTCTTTCGTTTCAAATGACTGAATTTGGTTAACATCAATATTTCAGTCATTTGAAACAATTATTGGTGAGATGAACCCGAAACGAGAAAAAAATAACTACATCGGTGTCCCAATTTAGTGTGTATCAGTCTTTTTATCAATATTTCAGTCATTTGAAACAATAATTAGTGAGATGAACCCGAAACGAGAAAAAATAACTACATCGGTGTCCCAATTTAGTGTGTATCAGTCTTTTTATCAATATTTCAGTCATTTGAAACAATAATTAGTGAGATGAACCCGAAACGAGAAAAAATAACTACATCGGTGTCCCAGTTTAGTGTGTATCAGTCTTTTTATCTCCAAAATTAAAATACACTGGATATTCACTCAGGGATTTGCGTTCAAGTTTGTTTTGAAAGTTGCTAGGGAAGGTGAAGGCCTAGTCGGGTCGGTTCGAAGAGAGGAAGGTATAAAAAAGAAGAGTTAGCAAGAGAAAGTCTGTAATTTGGGATTCTATAACTGATATTAGTTCTTAGAACATACGCGTTTCTTGTTAGTATCATCGACTTCAAGAAGAAGTGAATAGATATAGTATAGTGTTAATTTGTTATCGATTTGAGAAATAAAGCTCGATTCTATTTCTTTTCTCCTATCATAAAGCGTCTCAAGGTCCGCGGCCCTTTTCTGATAATAAAGACAGAACATTAAGATATGACGGTAAACCAGTAATAATTGGCACTATCTCGCGTTGAGCTTTTTCCAATTTCAAAGAAACAACCTTTACAAAAAAGGAAAAGTTACCAAATACCATTCCGACACGGAGAAGGCAAATATTTTTTAACGAATATTTTTGTAGTATAACTTGTCTGAACGATAGTGGAATAGCTTTACCAAATTTTATCACTAGAACTAAAAATCATATGTTGAAACACACTGCTGATTTAGTATGTAAACCATTAAAATTACAGTTTATTTTTTTCATTGATCGAAGGTACCTATCCTGAAACTTGCTAATGTTAAGCCTGCACCGAATTATAGAGCAATTTTTCCTTTATCGACTGTGAGGAAAGTATTCGAAAGTGTTCTTTTTAAGCACAAGCAGAATGGTTTGTTACAAAATTCTCTGTTTTATCAACATCAGTCTGGTTTCACGCCTGTCTGTCCACAGTATTTCAACATTTGTTTAGCACTTGAAGACAGAAAACACTCCTCTATCGTTTTTGTGACATCTCTATACAATGTATGTCATCGTAAACGTCTTAATTTACAGTCTTGTAGCTTTATTGGGGATCTGTTTTAAGTGGTTCAAAAACTATCTTTCTAATTGTCAGCAAAATGTTTTCAAACATAGCTCATATTCAGCTCTAGGTACAACTGAAGCAAGGTTGCCTCAAGACACACACACACTAAATTCTTATATACATAGAAATCACATGTATCACTGCTCGGAGGTAATTTCATAATTCAAACTTATGTATTAAATTATTTTTTATGCACATTAATATCTAGACGTGGGTATGCAAATACTATCGTAACGTTTCCTTACAGCACATGACCAGTAAAAGCGTGTACGTAAGTTTTGCAATGAAAAATGTACATGAATTACAAGTCTTTTAGCTTATATGCGTGTACTCCTGCATTTTTGTTATATAACTCTCATTTATGTTACGATTGTTGACACTAATACACATGTATACCTAGTACACGTGGGTAAATACCTGTCACAAAATAATTTATACCTCCGAAACTGAGGAGTCATTATCAAAAACAAATGAACACTTGTACAACAATAACAGTAACGGCTGTCATGACCACGATCATGTATTCGTTGATGTACACAATTGTATAACTTGATATCGCCCTCTCACGATCCACCGATGTGGATTTCCCACTTATTTGGTTTTATTTGATAAAGTTTTTTAAAGGTTTTGTAATCGCGACAAAACGTTACATTACTGTTTACATATTAGACATGGTCAGTCGAAATCATATTTTGACGTCACATGTGTCACTTGTTCGATCAACTGATTACATTTCTACCTCCTACGTAATGAGTACTTTCGACTGCCTGAAACAAGAATCGGGACATATTTGAGCAGCGCCATCTAGGTGGTAGTGCTAAATATTTAAGTTACGATGAATTCAACAAAACCAAATATCATGGCCAAAACCCTTTAAACTATCCCCATTCACTGAAAATTCAACAGAAATAATCTGTGTGGTTATTTACAGATGTAACTGGTTATTTAGAGTTGTTAATGTTCTATCAAAACCTCTTGATATTTGCGGTTTTATTAAAATAAAACCGCATGCCAGGATCTCAAATACGTAGGATACTGTTTTATATATTGTTTCATTGATGTATACAGGTCTACTGTCTGGTTAAAAAATTCTGCTAGTCAAGGTTGGTAACTATATGGAGATGAATTGGCTTAGTTTACTGCGGTAGTAATTTGTTTGTTTTTTCATTACACTATCAACTGTTTTACATTGTTTACAAAATCAAGAGCCGTAGCATGGTTCCTTGTTGCACCATGGACTCGAATGTTTGCTTCACGTTACACTAGCTGCTAACCTATACCTGATTTGGTATGTAGCTTCATATGCCAGGGAAAATTAGTCGACAAGTGTTTTAATGAACCAAAGATTAAAGGTCTTTTAGAAGCCTAGCAAAAATGACTCTTTCAAACGCCCACATGCGGAAATATGACGGAAAATTTCATTTAGGGGGTATTAAACAAGTTTTTATGCAAATTGGAGATTGCATCAATAATTCTGTTTTTACAAGAACCAAAGCCTCTGCATGAATTTTGGTTTAATACGATGGTCTCACAACATCTTTAACCGTTGAACCGTTAAATGAATCCTGACCAATGCCTGTCCTTAAGTGTCCCCTGTGATCATCATAACTTCAACACGGTAGCATGACTAGCAACGCTATCACATAATACTGACAAAGGACAGTCACTGCATTTCATTCATGGATGAGTATGTAAGAAGCACGAAGCACAAGTGTTTGATTGCCACGGGAGAGAACTTGTAGCTGCATCACATTGTTGCAGACTATGTAAAAGGGGAGGTAATTTCATGAGTACATAACACGCTTTTGAGTTTAGGTAACCTAATAATCGGATTTCTTTTATTTTACAGTTACCATACATAACGGGAATCATGAATAATCGAAGCAACACGTCATTCCTCTTTCCTACGACCAATGCAGTTAACTTGCAGTATTTTCTAATGATGTTGGGTACTCTTGTTGTAGTCGTCAACTTCTTTTCGGCTGCTGCTTTACTTCGTTGCAAAAACATGGAAGCAAAACTGAGACAGTTCGCCGTATGTCTGACAGTGATTGATATTTGTGTTGGCTTTCATCTTATATTCATGGTGGTTAATTACGCTAATAATCTCATGCAGAACAAAGTGTCCTGCTATATTGTCTTGATGATGCCCCGGTTCACAGCATACGTAGGCATGTTCACCACAACTGCCTTTGCGATAGACAGATTTGCTAGTATATACCATTGGCACAGCTCATATGCCACAAAGAAGAAAACCAAGGCATTCTGTATCGCAGTGTGGCTTATATCCCCTGTTATTACAATAATGTCATTCCTTGGAAAAAGCTACGGATGTATCTCACAGGACCAGATAGATCATGATCGTGAAACCAACGCTCTCTTTATGATAATCCCGATGACAATATGTTTTGTTGTCATTTCCTTGTGTTATGCTGCGGTGTATATTAATATTAGAAAACATTTAAAGAAAACAAAAGACCTAGGAGTAAGTATGAAAGAGTACACTTTGACAATGTTTCAATCTACTGTTGTAATCGGTGTGGTCATCCTTTCCTACTTTGTGTGCTATGGTCCCATCTGCATCCTGAAGATATACAATTACGTTGATCCAGATACCATTGTCGCTACTCGCACTCTCAGGAACGTGACGCAGGTCATTTATGTTATGAACAGCTTAATTGATCCAGTTATCTACTCTGTTCGATTCAAAGAATGTCGTCTGGAACTGAAGAAAATATTTTGCTATTTCAGTAAAAGCACAAGAAAAGATATTCTTTACAAGAAGAAGATAATGCAAGCACCTTTTCTTGAAAATGGGACGAGAAAAATCTCACATTCGCCAAAACCGGAACATCGTGTCGTGGAATCCTCTAATGACGACTTTATACCAGCTAATGTGTCTTCTGAAGAAATACATTGTGTCAAATTCACTGTCCCGCCATTATCTCTTGATACTTCTATCTATGACATTCGGTGTTTTGTTGTTTCTGTCGGCCTGTTCTGTGTTCAAAATGTAATACCACGGCGTCTCAACCCAACAACATATTGGCATAATCCCGACGTATCCTGTGAAAAAAGTGTAAAGAAAGATGTCCTTGACGTCAGCGGTTCGAATTTGGGACATCAAATTGATTATATGTGTGCTGAAGTTACCAACATTCAAGATTCTCTGTCTGCCTCCAACTCCAATATTCTCTCAAACCAGGTTTCATTTCACCCGTCCGTTCCGGAGTCCAGTCGCACAATGTCCTTTGCTCAAGATTTTGATTTCGTCCTTAATTCAACCGTCACGTCAAGCCAGGCTTAAGAGTAAAACACAAGCTTATCTATCAGCGGTAGGTGTTTAGTTGATACTGTAATGACAGATTTCCGGTGGAAAAGGCAGCTCACATATATCAATTCTGAAAACGCTGTATAACGTTATGTTTATGAAGCTTTTACATAACGCAACGAGTTTAGACGCGTATGTTTTCTTGAGCATTATTATCTTAATTGCTGTGGATGGCATGTGATGGACCTCCTCGGTCTTATTCGGTGAGGTTACCATAAGCTACTACAATGAGATTCCGCCTCAAAATGACCCCAGCTGTCCACAGAGCGATAAACCCAGCTAGAAAAAGAAATAATTATCATTCTGTCAAAAACCGTGAAAAAATATATGTTGGCGTTCAGTAACTGATATTTATTAACAGCATGACAGTTGAAAGGATACATTACTCTAAACAAGTAAATAGACCATATATTATTAGCACGTGTATGTAATAACAAGCACTCACTGGTGAACTCTGCATTCTTAAAGGGATGAATCATGTGTGCCGCGATCTTTGATACAAGCGATCGCTAATTTGATTGGTAATACTTACCTGTGTATCGCATCTGTCATCTCCGGTATGCTATATATCATATTTAATGAAAAACTGACGAGTGTTGTTGGCTCTTTGGGATTAATAGAACATTTTGTCTGTAATGCTTGTTAATGAACGTTATCGCAATTTCTTCACATTTTTGTGGTTTCATTATTATCGTGGTATCATTACCTAATGGATCCATGGTGTCTACTATCCATCCACGGCACACTGATGAATATAAAAATACATTGGTAAGTAAACAAAAGGTCCAATCGGCCTGTATCTCTAACTTAATTCGTGTATTTAGCCACACCACGCAGTCCCAAAAACGGTCAAACAAGCTGTTTATACCACATTCAATCCCCTCGTTCCGAAGATATTTCAAATTAAATCTCAATTGAAGTCCTTTCATTCCTGCCAATCCGAAGGAATAAAATAAATTAAATATCTCGTTTAGAGCTATGTCCATGGGGGCTTAAACACAGCGTTTAAACGAATTCAATTGCCTCCATCCAAAAAAAGCTGGATTTAAAGATTTATTGTTTCCCAAACTAGTCCCAAACCATCACTCATACAAAATTCAGCTCCCTTCATCTATGGGTGAACAATACGGTATTAGTTAAAACTCACTCATCTTGTTAGGTGGTTTGCTGAAATTGCATATATACTAAAAGAAAATATTTAGGATATCTACATCGATTTCACTAATTAGGTCCCAGGCCCTTGTTAAAGGAGGTCAGATGACCATTATAAAAATCTGTATTTCTTTCACTCCAGGCTTCAAATCAAATTTGGACAAACATTCCTACCGAAGAATTTTTTATAATGTTCAATTTGATCAGCCTTCATAGGGATTCTTCTGACCAAAATTTGTCTAATTTCGCTTAGTCGTTCATGACAAATAGCGAATTGTTGAACCAAAGCTGACGGTCGGGACAACGGACACTTCGGTATGCTATAAGCTGTAAGGATTGTACGGATCTGTTTTTTCGTACGAGCAGGCCCCTCTGCCCTATCTCCCCTGGGGGATCGGACGTATCCTTTTACAGAATTTAGTCCCCTTCTGAACTGAATCTCCTTCACCTAAGAATAAATTTCGTTGAAACCCCCTGATCACTGCGGTAGGATTTAAAATAAATAATAAAATGCTCAATATTGGGTTTTGTTCCTCAACGCCAAGAGTATATATAAACTGACAACACTAGGATGCTCTAGGCGACACCTGGCAAAACTTCCGTCATCCCGACAAGGGAAGAATTGAAATGTTTCCCATTGAACAAATTGGAGTTCCCTTCACCAAGAGATAGAGGAAGATTAAGTGTCTACGGTGTGAAAGACACGAGTGAAATATATTTGTTATGACTGTAGAAACTATAAAATGATCTATATACTATTTAAATAGCCATTTACTGGCAAAGGTAGCACAGTTATTTTATTTTAATATTCTTATAGAAAATGTTACTTATTTATGTCGTTAAGAGACAACATGTGCTGTAAAACGTTCAACATGTGACAAGTCACTACACGATTGAAAATATGGTGGCAACCTACAGTTGACGTGTATCCCATTATAATCTTAACTTATTAACTCCACTTTCAAGAAGTTGATGATTGGGTTTGATCTCTGATAAGGTAATCTGCATTACATTGCGTGGTTACTTTAATGCAAATGAGCGTTTACCATTGAATTGAAGGTTATGTCACAATTACATTATTGTAGGCAACCTCTTTCAATTTCGTGCTTTTTGTACCAGGTGGTATGATTTGGCAATTCTAGCAGATGATTTGTGTTCTCTCGTTTCATTGGTGTACGTCTTCAAAAAGAAGATCTGTAGATCTGGTTTCTGTTAAACTGACCCGACCTCCCCACTTCCGCGAGGATACTTCTGAACAAATTTGATAAAAATCGTCAGCGATTCATTTGCTTTCTCTGTTGGGACCGCCCCTCTTTGTACGAAGGGGTCAGGTCAATACATAAAGGATTATCCAAAGTGTTACCATGTACGCATATGATACATCGCAATATGTTAAAGGTAAAACAGTTGAGGCACTCGAGCAAAAATTGTATGAAAACTTAGAATGCACATACAAATGAATGGAAAATAACAAATGAAGTCTCAATCTCAACAAAACTTATTGTATGATGATTGGTTCTGTGCAACAACTTGCAAAATGTAGAAATCTATGTTTGAACTTTAATTGAAAAGTCATTGAAACTGTTGATTGTGCCAAACTTCTTGGTGATCTGTTCGACAAAACATTGTCATGGAAAGAACATGTTGACAGCGTTTCCAAAAATCAACCAAAAAAATTCCTAAGTCTTCGACTATTTATGTCAGACAATTATTTTGAAAGTCTACTAGATTATTTCCGTTCCATATTTTATATATTGTTCAAGTGTTTGGTGTGTTCCAAGCAACAAAATGTTCATTGACAAATTGTTAAAACTACAAAAGAGAGCAGCCAGGATTTTACTCAACATCAAAGATATTTTAATTCCATCGTGTTCTCTTTTTAATGCATTGAAATGGATGCCTATTCCTGATTTTAACAATTTTAGGAAAGCTGCTCTGACTTTTAAAATTCTTAGTGGACAAACACAAGATATTCTAAATAATATGTTTTCTTATATCGGAGATGTTTCCAGTAGATCTACCAGAGCAGCTACAAATGACAAACTCTATGTTCCTTGAGCCATGACAAGTATTTTAAAGAGATCTATTAGTTATAGTTGCTCTGTTTCATGGAACATATAACAAGGGATTCCAGTGTTGATGTTTTAAAGAAGAAATACATTGAAGCGTTTTACAACCAGTAGGCGATATGCTGTTCGTCTGTGATACTAGTCATTGTATATGATTATATGTATATTGCTCAATGAATTGTTGACATGTAACGTTTTATTGTCTTATCAAACTTGTACATACATATGCCGACACTCTACAGCAGGGCCATATTTTAAACTAGATTTTATTTAAATATGTCACCCTGTCTAAATAAAAGATATTATTATTATCAATTATACAGATAAGGTTCCTTTCATGTAACGATGTTTCAGACCAAATTAGAACAATATTATTTATTTCATTGATTTAATTACATGAGTCATAAAAGCTAAACTAGACTAAACACTGTAAAACAAACTAGCCTCCCTTTGATGTTGATAATTACAGCTCTATTTAGTATAGCTATCAGCACAAACACGGTGTCTTTTGTCATTAGATGGTCACTATCTCATATAACCTGATGGAGCGACCAGCATTCTAATTCAGGCGATAAGCGCGTTAGACAAGCAGCGTTCTTCACGCAAGGTTTGTGCCATTTTCACTGCTTTATAATGCGAAATTGTTTTATACTACGATTATATTAGAAGCACATATTCTGTTAATTACAATTATCAATTGACATCAAAAGATCAGTATTCGCCATATTGTCATTGACAATTTTCATAACATAAATCTAAACTGCTTTTTGATGTGATAATTTGTTTAAATCTTGTTATTTTCTTTTTTTTTATCAGTGTTTTTTTCTATACCCAGTTATCTTGTTTACCATGATTTTACGTTAAGGGTTTCATTCAACAGATCTAGGTTCTTTGAAAGCGTTCATTGTTTTAAGTGTCTCATAAACATTGATGTTGAAACGAATGTGATTGTTTTGTTTCTAGGCCCTTAAAATCATGAAACAACTTATAATTCATGTTGTAAGATATAGTTGGAATTTTATTAACGCGTGATAATAAAATTAAAACGATGTCAAGATTTTAATTCTACCATCTGCGGAAAAGCTGTGAACTGAAAAATAGGATAAAGACTATTTTTTCTATTACAACAATTAATCACTTGAAAGACTCGTTTGTTTTCTTTGTTATGAGAACTTTCTTTTCCAAGTAAGGCTGAGAGCGGTACAAATATGTTTCTGGTTATCACTATCGTTACCTGCAATGTGACTAAAATGAGAAGCTTCTGCCAAGCTGTATGATAAGCGTTGCGACTTTATTTTCCATTTCATGATAGCAACAGGCTCTGACGTACCATTTTTATCGTTTATATTCATATACTAATTTAAAATTTTTAGCATTTGTTTTTTTTTCCATTGCTTTGTTTAATGATATTTCCTTTTGGATCGCTGTGTATTTTACCGGTTGATGGCCCTAATGACATTTTATGTGTTGACGGGCCGTTAAACATATCATAATTATAATAGTTATGATAGCAACAAATCTGCATTCCAACCTTTAGTGATAACATGTCGCAATTGTTTCAATAGTCTAGGGGACTGTTCCCATTTTTACGATTTTCGTGAAATAATTCGTCGAATAACAGACACTTTCGTAACGCAGAAATTCAAAAGATTTAGGTTGATGGAAATCACGGTTGTCTCAGTGATTCCATTGAAAAATATTTCATTTTTTCATGCGATATGAATCTGGACATGAGAGATGCTCCTTTTACTTTTT